TGTCCTTCTGCATGCACAAACTCGCCTGTCCTTTTCTATTCCTGCACACACACAGTCACTTGTGCTCAGGTGTGACCATGTGCACACTGGCACATGCACCAGAGAGGCACCTCTGAGTGCTGGTGTGTGCACTGCCCAAATGTCCCCACCACACTCTGTTCCCCAGCTGATCTTGGCCCTGGACTCTCTAGTTAAGAAGTCGGGAGCTCTGGGGGCAGCAATGGAGAGCTGGCAGGTGCACAGCTTTGTGGCTAGGTGGCCTGGAGCACAGGGCCTGGCTGGGCCCAGCTTGGCCAGGAGCCTACAGGGAGCAGCAGGGAGAAGGCTGCCCACAGCCTGAGGTGTCACTGGTGCAGCTCGGCCTCCCCCATCTTTCCCCTCAGGGTCCCCGGCTCAGCCTGGAGGATGGTGGCAGTGTGTTGAACAACCGCCTGGTGGGCTTGAGTGTGGGCCAGACACTTGTCACCGGTCTGGCTGAGCCTTTGGAGATCACCTTCTCCCACCAGCGTCAGCCCCCTGTGAGTCACTGGCAGTCACTGCAGGGCTGACAGGCGAGTGGGCACCCAAGGGCAGGCATGGACACTGCACATCTGTCCCTTACCCTTCCACATCCACCCAGGAGGAGGGTCATACACACAGACGTGCAAGCCCGCCCACCCACACCCCCGCGCCACAGTCGTGCCCTTTGCACACCAGGCCAGAATGATGCAGTTACTTTTCCTATGCGACCCCTGGGAGTGAGCCTTGGTTTCCCTCTAATGCACACACAGCTAAGACCCTGGGGAGCGCACTGTCCCTTCCCCCTCCCTGCTCCTCCAAGGGCTCCCCTTCTGTTCCTCTGACTTTCACTCTCTGGTTTCAGAACATGACTGTCACCTGTGTCTTCTGGGATGTGACTAAAGGTAGGGCCTGGAGGACCTTGTCTGGGGTGAGGACGTTTTTCTGGGTGGAGAGGGTACAAGCTCCCTTAGGAGGCAGGCTGTTTGCACTAGCTGGGTCCCTCCTCTTCTCTGCCATCCCCTGCCCTCTCCTTGTGGCCCTTCCTTCCCCTCCCCTCTTCTCCCCCTCTCCATGTGGCTCTGGCCTCCTCTC